CTAATCCTCCTCTTTTTGCTGAGGAAGACCGGCTCTGAGCTAACAGCTACTGCCAATCCTCCTCCTTGTTTTTCCCCAAAGCCCCAGTAGATACCAATCCTCTTCCTTGTTTTTCCCCAAAGCCCCAGTAGACAGTTGTATGTCATAGTTGCACATCCTTCTAGTTGCTGTATGTGGGATGCGGCCTCAGCATGGCCGGAGAAGTGGTGCGTTGGTGCGTGCCCAGGATCCAAACCCTGGCCACCAGTAGCAGAGCGTGCGCACTTAACCGCTAAGCCACGGGGCCGGCCCTTAAAAAATTTTTAAAAATTAGGTTGGGAAGACTGTACGTAAAGTATTAATAGTGGTTATTTCTGGATGTTAAGACTGTGGGCTTGTTTTTCCCTGTCTTGTTTTGTTTTTTCATTTTTTCCTAATCTCTCAATTTTTTTTTACAATGAAAATACTACTTTTAAAAAATAAAATCTAAAAAAGTATTTTCAAGTTTTTACTGGCAAACACCAGTATCATCATCAAATGATTAGTGAATTCAATAATCCTCTTCTGATCATTCCTACAAACCCTTCTGAACACCAAGAATGTGTACTAGCATGTTGGTTTCATCTATGAGAGAACAGAGCTATCTTTTTCATACATGTATAGTTTATGGTACAATGAGGTCTCTTTTGCAATCACTGCATATACTTATGCACATCTTATAGGACTTGGAATTTTAAATTTTAAATTGAGATTCACAGATACTAATCTTCTTCTGCTGGACCCATGAATGACTTATTTCAGTGATTCTCAATCCTGCCTTAGTCCCCCAACCCCTGAATCTCGGGGGCTGCGCTAGGCATATCTCTATTTTTAACAAGCTCCCAGCAGACTGCGTTATGCAGGTGGGGTTGAGAACCACTGGTTCATTCAGTGACAACTCCTTGGATAGACCTCTTATCACAATTACCAAGTGCATATGCTTCTGCCTCCTTAACATCTAGGTCTGACCCAGGGAAGTCTTCCCTAACTGCCCAGGACTCTGCTGGATGCATGATCCCCTTCTGTCACGTGGGGATAACGATGGCACCCACCTCCACAGGAGGCTGTGAGGACTGACCGGGTGAGGCAGTTACACCCCAGGCCAGGCAGAGAATAAGAGCTCTACAAATGGCAGCTCTTCTTACTGGTGGAAAGAATTGGCTTTAAAGAGGAAGAAGACCAAGAACAGAAATAACGCATCCCATAAACTTCACCTATTAACTATTCCTAACTTGTGAAGATGATTCTTTAAATGTGAATTAACCATTCACAGAAGAAACCAGAATTGGATTTACAACTAATATTAAGGTTCCAGGAAAAACGTTTGAAAGTACTTCTGCCCAAAGAAGGTACTTTCCATACTGGCAAGGGTAAGTAGGCTGAGATTTTTATGGTCATGCAACAAGGGGATCACTTGCTGCCCCTGAGGGCCCCTCTACGCACCATATTCGGTCAGTCGGGGGAGGTGGAATGTTGACCGCCAAGGTTCCTCTACATTCTTGTACTTCAACAGTTAGCAGCAAGGGTGTATTGGAGACTTCTTCAATCTTCTTTTTAATGAACTCTGTCTCTGTTGCTTTTTGGAAATATTTTGACTTGGTAATTTTATCCACAAACCTCATAATCTTACTTGTTCGATGACCTCCAACATACCTTTAAATGAGGGACACAAAGTGGCGTTAGTACAAACTTTGCTCCTTCACAACCAAAACTTTGTGGCTCTTTGTTCCCCTTCACTTCAGAGCAGAGTTTCTCAACCGCAGCACTACTGACATTGGACTGAGTAACTCCTTGTTGTGGGGCCATGCTGTGCATTGTAGGATGTTTAGCTGCATCCCTGGCCTCAACCTACTAGATGTCAATAGCACACTCTCCTCAGTCATGACAATAAAAAATGTCTCCACACATTGCCAAATGCCCTCCCCCCCCCCGGGGGGAGGAGGCGCAAAATAACCCCTGGTTGGGAACTGCTAATTTAGAGAAGGTATAAACATTAGACAGAGCCTGAATCTTGCCAATGGAAGGTCCAAGTTCTCATAGTGCAGACAGAGAAGGCCTCTTACCTGTCCTCCTTTATACCCCTCAAATACTGAATATAAATCCAGCATCCTATTAGAGAAACCTCACCGTCTCTATACAGAAAACAAGAAATCATGCTGCATCAACAGGGATACAAAACACAGTAATTAACTGACTGCCTTTTAGGTGGTGTCATACCAACTTGGAGTGGCAACTACTTTTCAAAGGGCTTAGGAACCTCTAAAGAAAAATGCTACATCAAGCTGACATGCTAGCAGGCCAAGAAAGCAAGCTTTTGTATCAGATTATATCTATCATAAGACTGAGAAGGATAAGAAGAGAGGATATTTGCTTGTAAAAATCCTCCACAGTTCCAGTGTCAGGAATAGTATTGTATGTGTGTAGGGAAAAGTAATCATTCTTAAGAAAGTCAAGCAGGTAGATTTTAAATAATGCACACAAACTTTAGTACCAACTCCTCAAATATCTGATCCTCTTTTCATCTTCTGTAGGATTTCAAAAGTGAATAGGTTGATATTTTCTTACAAATGCTTCTCATCACCTGGCTTCTTGAGCATCTTAGTTTCTTCAACTCACTTTAAATAACGAAAAGATCCATACAGAGAGGCTGTTTAAGCACTTTGATCATTCCACACTCTAGGTAACAGGCAAAGGGAGCCCCAAAACGTAGTTCATGATCCAAAAGATCAGCTATGTGATCCATGTTTTCCAACTTCACCAAAGAAATCACCTGAATGTTTCAGCTTTGTAGGAAATAGCAGCTCGACAGAAGCAAGTGTGACCCTACTAAAGGGGAGTAATGCTCACCACCAAGCACCAGGGGGAGGTGGTGTGCAATTTGTGCTCCTTGTGATAAGCACACCCTTCAATTCTATTATTTACTCCAATGGCAGAAGAAAGCCATTTTGTTGGGGACCCTCTTAAGTAAGGAAAGCTATATGGGTCTTTCTGCTTTGGGGCCTGGAATTTAAACAAGCCACTGATTTGGGGTTATTAATGCTAAAACCATTCACTCAACATGAAAGAGGAAGGAAGATGATAGAAGAGGAGGAAAAAAAACACCTCACTCCCAATTGCTGCCCTGACCCCTGGAGAGCCTAGAAGCTGGATCCACTTACCCTTCGGCCCCTGGGAGAAGCGGTTTGTCTCCCGCACTGGGCTCTGGTGCATCATCTTCATCAGAGGAGCCAGCACTGGAGGACTCCTCATCGCTGTCGGCCAGACAGTACGCCCTGGGCCTGCAACTGAACAGGGCAAAGTCACCACTGCAGCCTGCCCCTCACCCAGGCTCTGCTTAGAAAGAGAACACACGCGCTCCACCACCACCGCTGCTACGTCCTCATTCTGCCCAACCCATCCAAAAAAGAAGAGGCCTCGGATTGGCCTGGTAACCCAGGAAGCTCTTCAGCGCCAAGTCCCCTGGCAGAACCACAGAGGACTTGGGCCCAAAGAGATCAATTTTGCATATGCATCAGAAGGACAGGTGGTGGGAGTGTGATGCAGTCCACATGAATGCAGTGATTTCTTCAACAGTGCAGCAGCAGCCAAGTGGGAGGGTGAATGGAAAGAGTGATGGCTGCAAGGGTGAGGTGACAGCTTATGTTGGTGACATGAGCACCTCTCACTGATGATGGGGATGTTCAGGCAAGTCCCCTGACTCTGGCTGAGTCAAACAACTATGATGCTTTCTGGCTTAGTTACCTCCAAATTAGTTTTGACTCGAGACTCCTTTCTAGTGAAATTGCTTATCTCATCCCACACCTGCCCCAGCTCCTGAGGGTCACAGAAAAAGCCAACAGCCACAAGGTACAAATCTCAAGGCACTCTAGGAAGCAAGTGACATGAGAACCCAGGAAGTTTCCTGGAGAAGTACAAATTTAAAAACCACTTTAAAAATAAAGTAATAAAAAGCCTCATCAGAGAGCAGTGTCCCTCACTGATCTTTCCAGGTTGGATAATCAGTTTCCAGAGGCATGGGGGTTGCAAGATCACCAGCAGCAATGAGTGATCAAGGCTCCCCTCTGAGGGGCACTGGGGACTTCTTGGCCAAGCTTCAGCCCCACAAAAGGCAGCTCCCTGGATGGTGGCTTTGCTTCAGATAGGCATGAACATGGGACAGCGTAGTCTCTGAACACTATTAAGCAACCAAATGGTCACTAAGCAGAAGCTGGGCCTTGTTTTTTTTTTTTTTTTCTGGTGAAGAAGACTGGCTCTGAGCTAAAACCTGTTGCCAATCTTCCTCTTTTTGCTTGAGGAAGATTGGCCCTGAGCTAACATCCATACCCATCTTCCTCTATTTTGTATGTGGGACGCCACACAGCATGGCTTGATGAGTAGTGTAGGTCCATGCCTGGGATCCAAACCTGCAACCCCGGGTCACCGAAGCAGAGTGTGCCAAACTTAACCACTGCACCAGCAGGCCAGCCCCTGGGCCTTGTATTTTTGACAAGGACAAAACTACCAGGACAGAAGAAGGCAGTGGAGCTTAGGTCCCATCTCCCTGCAAGTGCAATCCTTTGGGGTTTTCCTGTGATGCTGTTCTTGGGGCACCAGAAGCAGCCCAGTGGGGCAATCATCTCCTGGCCAATGGGGGCCAAGGGCACCCAAGGGCACAGCACACACTCTGGTGTGGACTTGAAGGCCCAACAGAGGCACCATCACTGGGAGGGCAGGACTGAAATCTCCACCCCTGAAACAGGAGTCAGGGCCTCACGAATGTCCTCCCTGCAAGGACACCTGCATCCTCCTCAGCCCGGGCTCTGAAACATTAGAGCCACCCACCTCAGCCAACAGGCTTGAGTGTAATGTTAAAGAGAAACTCCTCCTGCAGACACAAAGCCTCTAGTCCCTAGTCACAGGGACAGCACCTGACTGACTCTTTCTTCCTCATCCATCAGAGGCCTGGCTGGTCCAAGAAATGCTTATGTGTGCTCCCTGGTCACAAAGCCACTTCAGAGCTTTCCACGGTTAGGCATCCCTCACAGAGATCTTCTTTTATTTAAAATATACATAGCAAAATATGATTCCCAAGAAAGTCTAAATTGGGTCTTGAGATGAGGAAAGTCAGGGATGTAAATCAGCCAAAAGGCTCCTCAAGATCTGGGACCACAGTGAAACCTGCTGAACCACCAACCCCTCCTGTCCCCACTGGTATTTGTCATCCAAACTGGCAGCCTCCAAACATGGGGCAGAAGATGCCAAAGGCTGAGCACTGCAGTGAGCTTCCAAGTTCCCGAATTAATCCTCTGCAGGACAGAGAATGGGACAAATTTTGTGGCTTGAAGTTAATAATTTAGACAATGCTATATCAGTGAAAGCAGATCAGATGACATGGAATTCTGATTTTGACCAAAAGTGACCTCTACTTTCTGTATGGGGAGCTCTATTATGTGGCCCTCAATACTTACTAATTAAATGTGTAACTAACTGTTTCGCTGATATTCAGTTTTATAACTGAACGTGCATTTTATGATCTCAACTTTATGATATCAGCATGAACTTCAGAGCAAGACACACTGCACAAACTTATATAAGATGTGCTATAACGTAATAAGCCTAATTTTTTAAAACACACCTTAAAATTCCAGATGAGTGTGATATCCTTTCAAAGAGCCACCTTAAAAGGCTTATTCCAGTTTAGCTCCCTCTGCTAAAAATCTTTTTGGAAATGCACTCACAGTCAGATACATAAGAAAAAGTAAATTATTTTATCACTGATACTCTGTCTTGGACCAAATATTTTATTTCTTGGTCTCATAATCACCATCACCTCTGAACAACTTCTAGCAATTTCTCAAAGATCCAATTCATCTACAAAGCAGGATGATTTGCTATCACTCAGGATAGTTAAAAGAATGTCATAGACTCTGGAGGCAATTCTAAAAAGCAGCTCCAAAACAAAAAGCTTTAAATGAAGGATACATAATTAGATTAAACAGCCCAGTGAGGTGACTGTTTGCTGGGACCCACATTCATGAGAATGTATTCATTTTCTTTTATTTGAGAGAAATCAGTCCTATTCATCTCCCACAGACACATGTGCCTACACTCACAGAACAGACTGAGTCACAGTGTGGGCTGCATGCACTCAGCTCCCAGCACATCAGTGGCCTCAGGGTGAGGTGGTGGTGGTGGTGGTGGTTCGGGGTATACTGTGAACTAGTGACCCAATACGGAGTCAGAGGGGGCCTCCATATGGGGACTTGCACACCGGACCGAGGCTGCAATGGTAGAGCATGAATAGGCCACGTGCCTTGCAGGAAGCGCTCCACTCTAATGCCACCTTTCATTTAAAGAGCATCCAACGTGCAGAACATTTCCCTTATTGACTCACTTTGGTCCTCTTTGGGATTAAGTTAAGACAGCCCACCTCACTACCTGAATTCCATTTGCAGTACCTTATTGCCCCAAGGTTATGTTAACTATGGTACATAAGAGAAGACTAATTGGGAAATAAAAAGACTAAAGGAAAAAATGTCTGCAAATATAAAGTATACCCACATTTCAAAGGGAAAGGACTTCACTAGAATAAAGCAACATGGATTTCAATTTCTATCACCTTCAGGGTAACAACGTGAAGTCATGAACAAACTTCCTACCAGTAAGCAGGACTTTCCACAGGTTGAGCAGCATCTCCTCAGAGACACTCCAATGGCACAATCGTTTGCACACTTGAAGGGGACTTTGAAAAAGCAGTGAGACAAAGCAGAAACCCTGCCAGAGCAGGACAGCAGGGGAACAAGCCCTTGCAGGGAAGTGAGACCCAAGACAGGCAGCCACAGGCTAAAGGGAGGGCCTGGAGGAAAAGGCCTGCTAGCCAACTCTTCAAACAGTCTGCTCTTCAGAGAAGCTGACTATTAAGGAAAACATCAGTACCAAGGATCACATGCTCAATAACAACTACCACATATACTGACTTCTGTCTCTCCTCTGGTACTGAGCCCAGGGTGATTCCATAAACTCATGACTGAGGAAGTGAAGAAGTGGATTCTAGTATCACCTCTGGGATTAGGTTCTTAGCTATGGATGAGCTTTCAGAGGTTCCTGATGTTCCTAGAAACTGTGAGCCAAAGAGTACATGTGTAGGCATTTTCTGGAAGAAGGATCCAGAGCTCTCAGATTCCCAAAGGGGTCCTTTGTGCAAAAACAGGTTAAGGGTCCATTTTTCTACACCTTTTTTTCCTAAGTGAAGTGCTTTTGGATTGTATTTTTTCCTTGCTTTTAAAATTAAATGACAGCCCATTACACATCAATATATAATTTAACACCCTCACAGGAAGAATTAAAACATTTTATACCAGACTTTACTGGAACAAAATAGTACTTTAGAAATACATTTCAAATTAAATATAATACCATCATATTCCTAAAGCAGAGGATTTTTTTCACACAGTCTAGAGAAGCACTGCCTGCTCAGAAACATGTCCATCCTCTGATCAGCCAGAGTTTATGAACTTGAAATTGTGCCAAGGGAGCCACATGAATAACAGTAGCAAGGGTCTCAGGGACCTGACCGTATTGGGGCCCCACATGCTGCCCAAGAACCCTCTTTCCAATGGAGTCCCAGCAGCTCTGTGCCAGCACAGGGCTGCTTCCAGAAAGGGCTCCTTGCACAAATGCTTCTGACTGAAGTTTGCTCTGTCTTGCTCTCATTTAGTTAGACCTCATTTTCAAGACAGCTTCTACCTGAGGTGCTTCATTTTATAAGCAGCTGGTTCTGCAACTGTGGTGTCATGAGGCTGGACTGATGATGCTCAGCTATGCACGGCACTGGGGTGGGGGCGTCCGGCGACAGAAGTTGAGTCTGACTAGAGGACTAGATCAGGACCCCAGCAATTCAAATCGAGGAAGTTTGTATGACTTTCCATGCCAGGAAAGACTCTTGAATACTCCTGATCTCAATCCGCTCAGGGCTACAAACTGTGCCTTTATGTCCAAGAACATGATGAAAGGACAAGCTTCCTAGTGGCGTCACATGGGACCAAACGTGACTCAGCGCTGACACGGTATGAAATGCTACATGGAGAGTTGATAAATACCACTCACCAGAAAATACAATCCACAGATTGCCGAATCCAAACACATTTTAACAAATAGCAGAAAAATGAAAGGAAAATAGCACAGATACAGGTTAGATTGCATCAGCAGGCAAAATTCTCCAATTATTAAAATAGGAACATTTCATTAAGATACCTGGGTAAATCAGAATAATCTAAGTAAAAGAACATTCTCAAACATATAACCCAACTCCCCCCATCTGCTATTACCACAAGAATGAATAGAAGCATCAAGTCAGTATCTTAACCGAGCAAAAATCCAAGAGTCTGTCTTATATTTAGGCCCTGAGAAGGTAGCTTCTTGTGGTGTTTTCCTGTCATCATACTGTTAATTCTATGCAAAGAGGCTAAAGATATGAGAAGCAGACTCCAATCAGCATTTTTAGTTTGGTAAAAACAATTAGATAATTTAAATTTGTAGTCAGAAGCAGTCATTTTAAAGATGTGTGAGAATGTAAAACTTCTAGCTTATCCATTCTAGGTATTTAAGAAAAAAAAATCAAGCTTCATTAATTAGCTCACAAATTTGGAATATTTACTAAGTCAGACAAACTCTGGGCAGCAGATTCAGCATCTTCTACAAAGAGAAGAATTTACTAAGTAAAGCAATATCGTATTATTCAGGGAAAATTCATCTCAAAACCCTTTAGGAGCACCCTCTTGGCTACAAGATCAATCATCTAATTATAAATAATTCTGACTTTGTGATTAAAGCAGATAGGCTCCCTCAGGACCTTAGCCTGGCCCATATATTTCCGTTTGTGGCTGCAAGTTGAAGGAGGAACTTTCTGAATGACAATTCTCTTCACAGAGCATGTTATTGCGTGGAGGAGCCTGCCCTGCTGGTCTGAGTCAGTGATGCTTTCTGGGTAATTGATACCGTGTGCCCCAGTGACAGCACTGAGGCCAAAAACACTGAGCAGAGGTGGGGACTCACGGTCTGCTGAGGATGAAACTAGGGATCCATTCCCTGAAGCCTTCTGCTGTCCAGAAGCACTTACACAGAAGCTCACTCAACATCTGGGACTACTACCCATCAAACCTGCTTCTCAAAAGCTGGAGGAGAGTTTGGTTCCCCAGAGTTGGATTAGTAAATTCATATAGCCCCTTACCCTTCTTTGCCAATTTCTCCAACCTTCAGGGCTTCCACAAGAGGCTCTTTACCTAGTTTGGTCAAATTCATTTTGGTCTCGAGAGTCATCAGAAAGGACCCATTGTAGGACATTTCCAAATCGATCCAGAGTCCTGGAGAAATGGTGAAAAAATAGAAGGTTTTTTTCCCTCCAAGAAAAACATGACTGTAAATGACAGTATAAAATTTACATTTTAAAGTATCTAAGTAGGAATCACATTTGAAAGTCTATAGATATATATTGCCTGTACCACCAATGCAAACAAGAGGAGATTGTGAAAAGAAAAGGTTCCGGAAATGGTTCAAATATTTGGCAAATTGCCAGCATTTCAATATCCATTAGAATGGTCACTGTGAGCTCAGTGTACATGGTAGTGCCGGAAGGGTCTTGTCCTCTGGTGTCTTCTCACATTTAGTAAGAAAACACACTCCCAGCAGGAGGAAATGGCATGACCAGGGGCAAAACGAGGATGAGGTCTCCTGATTCCCAGTCAGTTACAAGGCAGAAGAGAGGTGCAGCGACTTCAGTGCAAGCTGGGCTGTTCTTTAAAGACACATGCGAGAACCACCATCTTTCTTAAAATTATCTAGTGGTTTTGGGGGGAGGGGCATGGAAAATGGTTCAGATTTAGCTCGGTAGGATAAGGATAGTGACAAAAACATTTAGAACCCTTGTCTTTCTGGAAATTGCCTAGTAATGGAAACAAAAGAATTAATGTTTGATCTCCAGGATTATCCAGATAAAGCTGGGTAACAACTTTGTACCTTAGTTCAAAAACCTATTCCTTAGAAAAGATACTAATGTCAATGAGACCGTAACTAAAGGCTTTTAGCTTTGTGGAATTTCACTGGGATGGCCCACCAGCAGAAGTGGCCACTGACCGGAAGTCTAAAATGCAAATGGATCATCTCATGACCTTCTACACAAGGAGTCTATGATTCAGCAGATAGGACAGGCTATACTGTGATTTTCCAGACCCACAGCTCCATAATACCTCATGGACTTGCAATCAAAACGTGATCCTTCAAGTGGGTGTTTAAAGGTTAATAAACTTTTATAGCTTCTTATAAGACAAATGTCAAGATCTAAAAGGAAGCAGGAAAGTAATCCAAAACCATTGTTCACACACAGCAGCATTTTCAAGCAATTATAGTAAGTTACCTATCCCCTATCTGGCAACCATCTCAGATAAAAGCTTTGCTTAACCTCAAGAAGCACTAATGGTGTAATTCCTCACTAAAGGCAGAATAATTCCCATTTTTTCAACAAATTCTTTTTCTCATAATTGAAGGTAATTATTTTCCATGAACGACCTGGTTTAATTAAGTGATATGCAGATCAATTGTGACTGTCTGTGCAGCAACTCACAAAACTGCTTTATTTCTTGCTTACATTAAACAGTTAAAAATCATTAATTAGCTTGCTTTTCAAAGGTACTGTTAATGAAAATAAAGAGCACATCTGCTTTAATAAAGTCACTTAGTCATTAATCACTTCAGTAGAAAGGGGATAGGGGCAGAAGGCTTGCTATTAATCGATTTTAAACTCAATCTAAATAGAACATCAACAAAGAAGATACTGTTGTTTATCTCCAATCAATAGACTTAAACTACCTGGTTGCTGTATGTATTCAGACAATCATTTCTTTTGAAAATCCTAGTCAGGTTTCCAAAAAATACTAATAGTACATATTGCCTTTGAAGGTTGTCACATTAAAGACACCAGAATTTTACTTCCTATAAAGTGGAAGGTTTTGTTTGTCTGTTTTTTAAGTGCAGGGATATGGATATAGGATTAATAAACCCACACCCCAGTCATTGGGACGTTCCACCCAATGACATGTGGTCTAGTCTGCCTCCCGCCCCCACCCTCTGCCAGGGTCAGCGTCGGAGGCAGAGAAGAGGAAGGAAAAAGCGCATGGAACCCAGTTACATGGACGGGGCTTGAATTTCACTGGAAGTTTGTTGACCTCTGTGCACTAGCCTCTGCATTGGCACGAGGGAGACGACACTGCTGTGTATAGCCAAGCGCCTGGCACGTCCTGGCCAGGGTTCTTTTCTTTCTCTGCCATTGCTGCACACTTCCTCACTTCCATGACTCCATGCTCCAGCCTAGCTACTGCTGTTGCCATGGCAGACAGGGACCAGACCAGAGGAGGCTGCAGGGCCAAGAGGGAAAAGGCTCCATCGGGCAGCCAGAGAGCCCTGTCCAGGCTGGGGAGGGGAGGAGGCGTGGACATCTGACCGAGCCTCTGCATGGGGGAAGGGGTCTATTTTTTTATCCCATTGTATATGTCCCCTGAGGCCCACCCACGGGGCCTTGCTCAGCCCTGGTTCTCAGTGAAAATATGGAGGAGTCAAGAATGGTTTGCAACTTATAAAAACAGACATAAACTGCAAATATTCCAACAAATATGATGGGTTTGCATTCAGATGAGGGTAAGGAGACTATTTTAGCATTACGAGCAAAGAAAAACTTGCTTCTGGGACAATGATTCAGCAGACAAAAAGCACTCTGAAAACCTTAGAACACACACAATCTGGAGCCGAGACCAAGTGGTTATACAATGGGTGAGGCAGGAGGCTCCTGCCTTGCAGGTACTAGAAAAGTTGTCTTCCCATTGGGGATAAATGTAGCAACAACGTGAAGATGGGGACATACACTGTTCCATGAGTGGTGTCTTAACTCTAACCAAATTGATGCTACTAATATAGATAAATGTAGTTACAGAGCTTTTTCTTTTGTGTTCTTGACAAATGTTAACACTTTATTGTGAGGCATTTCATTCAAAATGCTGCTTTCTAGGACCATCTGCTCTGGGCAGTGCTCAAGAACAAAAACCAGAAGTTGAGCAGGACAATTTTTTAAGCCTTTAAATAAGAGCAAGGCAGTTACTCCTGAGAGGTTCTCTGGAAAACGCATGAACAGAAAGAGTCTTGTCTTAGTCAGCTCAGGCTGCTCTAACAAAATACCATAAACTGGGTGGCTTAAACAACAGACATTTATTTTTCGCACTTCTGGAGGCTGGAAGTCCAAGATCAAGGTGACAGCCAGTTCAGTTCCTGGTGAGAGCTCTCTTCTTGGCTTGCAGACGGGCCATCTTGCTGTGTCCTCACATGGCAGAGAGAGAGAGCAAGCTACTAGTTCTCTGGTCTCTTCTTATAAAGGCACTAATCCGGGGCTGGCCCGGTGGTGCAAGCAGTTAAGTGCGTGCGCTCCACTGCGGCGGCCAGGGGTTCGCCGGTTCGGATCCCGGGCGCGCACCAACGCACTGCCTGGCAAGCCATGCTGTGGCGGCATCCCATATAAAGTGGAGGAAGATGGGCATGGATGTTAGCCCATGGCTAGTCTTCCTCAGCAAAAAAAAGAGGAGGATTGGCAGATGTTAGCACAGGGCTGATATTCCTCACACACACACACAAAATAAAAATAAAGGCACTAATCCCATCATGAGGGCCTCGCCCTCATGACCTCATCTAAACCTAATTACCTCCAAAAACCATCACATTGCAGGTTAGGCCTTCAACATATGAATTTTGAGAGGACACAAACATTCAGTCCATAATAGGTCTCCCCCATGTTACAGAACAAGAGGTCCTCATGTTACAGAAGGGGTGTTCAGTGGTGAATGGTGGTACCTGATCAAATAAAATCAGCACTTTATTCTGCAACACAGGAAACACAACTGACAACAACAAGCTTCAATCAGCCTTCATGCAAGGACCTGTGAGGAGCTCAGATGGCTGTTTGTGCACTCTTCAGCTTCATGAGGGAAGGATCAGTCACTGCCGCAACCACCACTACTCAGAGGGAGACTGTGACTATCCCCCAAAATGTTTATTGAGTTCTTAATGCAAGATATCAGAGCTAAAGACACTGAGATGAATCCATGCCCTCAGGAAGTTTATACTAGAAGAGTAAAGCTGGCCTGGGCCACCTGGTGCAGATCAGACTGTGATGCCACCAGAGACAATAAACATGCCTTGGTGCGTGTCACCTGAGACAACTGGGAACAGTTGTCTTCTCCCTGGTATTCTATAATAGACCCAATGGCCTCAGTAATAGTCCTGCCGTTGCCATATAAATCTAGTAGTCTCACTCAGCAGTTTGCTGTTTTATTACTATTAAAATAACTAAAAGGCATCAGCCTCACTGGAATAGGTTTAATGGAGCACCTGGCACTCAGAAGGAGTTAAGAGAACCTAAAGCCTCGCTCACCTCAGCTTGGCCCTCATGTTATCTGCTCCTCCATTTCCCTCTACCTGTATCTATTAAAGGCTGATTTTCACTCTGAAAGCCAACATTTGGCATCCAAAGAACAAAACTCCTTAAAATGGAACATTTAACGATATATTACCAAGAACAGATGTTTGAGTTATTTGGCTCTTAGAAGAGCGCACCAGTGATTGTTTTGTTCCTGGCAAACAGGCTGGTGCCATATTGCTCCCTCAGATCCCAAAGAAAACTAGCAGCCTTTGTATTTGGCTGTGTCTTTTAGGACACACATCATTTTTAGCTTTGTCTACCTGTAACTGTTCTTAGAAGCAGCTCCACCTTTCAAGGCTGACATAGTGGCAAATTAGAGTCTCCTCTACTGCACCCCACCCAAGTTTCACCAAAGGGTATATTTTTTTCCCTTTCCATAAAAAGTAGCTTTTCTTTCTATAACACGATCTAGTCAGAGAGCGTGCGTGCCATTCCTGTCAGCACTGAGCCCCATGGTCTGGCCCTGTCACCATGCTTGCCCCGGGCAGCTGCTCTCCTAGAATCTGCTCTTGATGAGGACATAGTGGGAGGAGTGGGCAGGTCACAGACTGACTTTGGTTCCAGTTTTCTGCAATATTCAGTTGGCAAAGTAACTTCAGTCCCAGCACTGGATCAAGGCAACAGGCACTATAGATGAAGGTCTGGAAAACGAGTCATAGGTGGCGGACACCACCAGTCATGACTGAGGGCATCTCTGAAGACAGACAAGGTTCCTAGTCCTGGGGGACATGGTAATCTTTCCACAGAATCTGACACGTTCAGTCAAAACTTGGGTTGTTATTTGAGTGTCTCAAAACAGGGCAAAACCAGTACAGCACTTTGTCCACAGTGGACGCTCAGTGACTATTTGCAGATTTAAATACATGCAGCAAAGGTCCTGAAGACTAATGAATTAGTCTGAACCTGAGCGGTCACAGTCTACATCCTTGGTTCATTCTGACACTGCTGACATGCCTGCAGGCACTGCTCTGATACCCCCGGTCCCAGGCACGACAGAAGCTGTTCCCCACTGAGCCCCTTGAAAGCTTTGCAAATAGCAGCAGCAAACACTGATGGCTTACTCCATGCCGCGTGTGCTCTCAGGGCACTTTACATGTAACACTTCATCCCCACCACAACCGAACAAGGAGACGCTACAGCCATCAGCACTTTAAGGATGAGGAAACTGAGGCGTTGAGTGGTTAGTAACTTCCCCAAGGTCTTCCTGCCGGACAGGGAAGGAGCAGGGCCCAAATGCAGGTGGCCTACGCGCAGGGCCAGTGCTCATGGTGAGCCTCTGGCACTGGCCTTAAGCTGTGGAACAGGACAGAAAGGCGAGGCTGCTGGGTGGCCTCTGGAAAGTCCTCCCCCTCTGGGCTCTGGCTTATACATCTAAAACATGGCAGGGTCCAGTTAGGTAATCCCTCATTGCCCTTTCAAGTCTACGTAGTCAATCTGTCCAAATCTTCAAGGGTTTGAAAAAGAGCTATACGTTCTAAATTAATTTTTATCCATAAGTGAAAAAAGATTAGGAAAGAATGTACCAAAAATGTACCAAATGTATCAAAAAAGGTGGCCCTGGCTGCCTCTGAATGGTGGGATAATGGATAATATTTTCCTAATTATCTTTTCTAAATATTCCAGTTTTCCCCACAATTCATATTTGTTGAATGAATGAAGGAGCAAACATTAGCCTAACAGAGTTAATAAAACTGGAAAGAGCTTGGCTGAGAGACGTGACTTGGTGGACCCCAGAGGACAGGCCCTGGAAATAGCAGCCCAGGGTGGGGATGAGGGGTGGGAAGGGAAGGCTAGTCCGAGGAGGGAGGGTAAGACAGACAGTCATCAAGGCTGCACTGTGTGGCCTGAAGGAAGAAAGGAGACACATACACATCCCACAGTGAGAGGTACGTGTGAAGCGGGGAGGGGTCAGAGATAAGGCAGGAGGTGCATGGTTTCCAAGGGACAGATCTTCTCCATCTCCAGCCACCTGCCATTGGTGGGGAGTGAAGATACTCTGGGGAAGGTGGTCATTTAACCTCATTCACTACACTAGAAACTGGCTGAGTGTTCTGGAACTCGGACAAGCCAACATGGCCAATGTGTGATTTCCTTCAGAGGAACTACAGACTTTGCTCCATTTAGTGGCAAGGCCACAAAAGCTGAGAATGGCATTTTACTTTCTGGTTATTCTGGTAGGATCTGCCGGCTTTAGGCTGTAGGATCGGTCAACTGGACACCACAGCCACCCACATTCTAAACTCTCCAAGAGCAGCAGCAGCGAAGGCAGCACTAATAATGGTAAAAATAACAATAGCTAACACTTACAGAGCGTTTTCTCGCCTTAGACGCTTTCCAAGTGCCTTTCATGTATTAACTCACTTAATCCTCACGACAAGCCTACCAAGTAGTGCTTTGAGTCTCCCCACCTGAGAGGAGTTAGCCTCAAGGTCTAAGGAACTTGCCCAAGGCTGTGGAGCTGGCACTCAGAACCACCACTCTATGTTGCCTCCAAGAAGAGCACGCAAAGGGACAGAGTGATCCAACCAGCTCTGGCCCAAATATCCCTTCTGAGCCATGTGCCTCCAACAAACAAGCACAAGTTAGGAAACATTAAAAACAAACAAAAAAAGGGTGTGTGGGGGGATCCCACAGGAGGTGCCTCTCTCCGTAGAGCCATTGAGGCTTCAACCTGGGTTGCATTTCCCTGGAGGTGAGCTCTGTTTTTCAGAGTCAGTTTTAGCAAGTCACTCCTGATTTTAATTTCTTAGAGCAATGGAATCCAAAACACATATTTCCTTTGTGTTCATTTCTGTTTCACCATAACTTGCATCCTTTGCAGACTTGGAAAAACCGAATTTGATTAAACTTTTAAAAACCACAGGTTTTATGTCTTTATCATTCCTTTCTTTAGTCACATTTCCTTCCTTGTTATATAAGCAGGCAGATCTCTAAAACTTGCCCTGAAAGGAGTTAAAGCCTCAAATGGATTAAAAACCAGCAAAGCTTTGATCTGTACGGTGAAATGTCTTGCTGCAGCTCCTGCTCCAGAGGAACAGGAAAGAGACTTGAGACTTAGGCATTTGGTGAATTTCACTCAAAGCCTGACCAAGCTGCCCTAGGAGGCTGCAGAGTTCAAAGTCACAGGGACACTTCTTAGATGCTGCAAAGCCCAGCTGTGGGCCTGCTTCCCTTTCGTTGGAAATTTCTACTAATTCAACAAAAGACAGTCCTGAGATAAGAGACTGCTAACGCATTAGAAAATAGAGCATGTACACATATTATTCACTTTCTTTAAGCCTGATTTGCATGAGGCTTATGTTAGCTGATCATTTACCAGCTCGTTACAAGTCAACTCCTAAAGAGGAAAAGAGCAAACGGCAACCCAGAACCCGCTAGAGCCAGAGGAAGGAAGGCAGCCCTCCTATGCCGATGGGGCAAACATCCTAGCTACATGCTTAACACATAGATAACGCATCTTTTAAAATTTCACATGCAGTTAAAAGAACTCTAGCTAAACCATTTGCAAATAATCTTTTCTAGTTTTACCCTTAGTGAACCAGAAATTAACCAAACCCAGGAGCACTCAGATTTACCAAAATGTAGACATAATTAAGTGGTTACAGGTGATTTCAACATGCAAGTATTAGGTGGACTTCTGGATTTGCAAATAATAGTCTGGTCTATCTTTCTCTGAAATGGATGTGATGCTTAAAACATGGAAATATGGGCTGTCAGCTGAAATATTGCTAGAGAGATAAAGCTGCTAACTGTAGCACTAGAAAAAAACTCTTTGTATTTACATCAAATGTATACAACACAGAAAGTGATTTCACTAAATGATTCAAGAGCCATATGATACAGCCATACAGAGACAAAAGTAGATGCTATAGTCTTTAAATTTTACAAAACATTTATCAAAACAAATATCACTCTCTTGAAAAGCTGTAATTATTTCCTCCCCTACCTTGTTTCTGAGCCTTTTGAGGAATAATGTAACTCCAGTTCAGGTGGAAAGAGGCTCATGTGGAAATGGATACTACAGCAAAGAAGTCTGATGCTTCCATGACGGGGAGATTTTTTTCCTGACTGCTCACAGACTATTCTTGCCTACCTGACTCACTCTTCTCACCAAATTCCTGTGTACTCAATTTTCCATCAAGGTTCTTTTAAAACCACATGCCACAAAATATACATAATCTTTACATCATAATTTTTTTCTTTTTTTTTTTTTTTTTGGTGAAGAAGATCGGCCCTGAGCTAACATCTGCCAATCCTCCTCTTTTTTTGCTGAGGAAGACTGGCCCTGGGCTAACATCCATGCCCATCTTCCTCCACTTTATACGGGACGCCGCCACAGCATGGCCTGACAAGCAGTGAGTTGGTGCGTGCCTGGGATCCGAACCAGCGAACCCCAGGCCGCCACAGCGGAGCGCGCGCACTTAACTGCTTGCACCACTGGGCCAGCCCCCTTTACATCATAATTTTATTTAAACTCTATACATTCTTTTTTTTTAAAGATTTTATTTATTTTTTCCCCCCAAAGCCCCAGTAGATAGTTGTATGTCATAGCTGCACATCCTTCTAGTTGCTGTATGTGGGACTCGGCCTCAGGATGGACGGAGAAGTGGTGCCTCGGTGCGCGCCCAGCATCCGAACCCGGGCCACCAGCATCGAAGGGCGCGCACTTAACCACCAAGCCACGGGGCCGGCCCCAAACTCTATACATTCTAATCAACTCTTTCTCCCCCAACCCACAAGGGTAGGTGTAAATGATGTGTCAGTAGCATGTGTTAAAAATGAAATCTGAGAACTTTCCTTCAGCAGAGAGCCTTACTCTCAAGATATTGCCTGACAACATATCTTCATTTTTCAAACACTTACTGAGAACCTACTAGGAGTGGTAAGGAACATAAAGATGTAAAACATGAAGGTCAAATAATCTGCAACCTAGAAGCTGGGGTGAGGTAAAGATGTGAATACATATGAGGAGACGCAGCTCCAGGTAAGAGTTCAAGGCTGGGGCAGATGCACATGAGGTCCGTGTCGGGTGATGGGGGCTGAAATCAACCCCACTGCCTTTCACCCTGGCAAGGGCTATGACCATCCAGTGCAGGGGCTGTTTTCTAAATCACACAAAAGCTCAGGCCCCACCAACTGGCACATGGGTGTCTTTGGGCTAGAGGAGGACTGTAAGGATCTGAGAGACTAGAAGGATTAGAAGGGGGAATCCTGATCTATTCCCCATCAGTTTAAGGCTATGACCGTTAAGAATGAAAAACAATCAACATGAAATAGATGGTTAAAAAAGTGCCCAACTCCCTCCAAACACAAAGCTTTGGTATTCAATCTGTAGCAATGGAGACATTTTAACACTCATATAAACGGTCAATTCCTCTCTAGAGACAATTAAGAGTTACCTTGGTGATCAACATAAGGCTTGAAGGCCTGAAGGATTTTTGGCACAGCCATCCCCATGTCAAGTTCTGTCAGAGTTAGCTCGTTCATAAAGTAGGGGAGCTAGAGAAAAGAAGTAAACAATGAATAAGACATTAGTAACCTGGTAAAGGTTAGAATTCAACATACCCTCAGAAAGAATGATGGTGAAGGTTTTGGGGACACATTTATTTAACCAAAATTTACTGAGCACATACCACATACTAGGCATTGCACTACAGACAGAGCCATGGAGGAGTCAGGGAGAGTCCTTGCTCTCATGGGGTTTATACTGGAGAAGTGGAAACAGATAAATAAGTAGACAAATACATAACTTCAGAGAGTGATGAGTGCTACAGAGAAAATAAGGTAGATAACGTGACAGAGGGAGCCTGGGGCACGGGGGGCGGGGTGGCTATTTTGGCTGAGGAGGTCAGCAAAGGTTTCTCTGAGGAGTGGTGTTTGCCCAGAGATCTGACTGTGCAGAAAGAGCCAGCCATGCTGTTCAGGATAGTAACACCCAGAGTTGGCTCAAGTGTGGAAAATGGACCGCTTTTAGACTACTAGTGAGGAATTAAGAAATCGCTACAACATTTCTGATAGGCAACATTTATTAAAATCCTTGGGCCGGCCCTGTGGCTTGGTGGTTAAGTGCGCGCGCTGCGATGCTGGTGGCCCGGGTTCGGATCCCGGGTGCGCATCGAGGCACCACTTCTCCGTTCATCCTGAGGCCGAGTCCCGCATACAGCAACTAGAAGGATGTGCAGCTACGACATACAACTATCCACTGGGGCTTTGGGGGGAAAAAAATAAAATAAATAAAATCTTAAAAAAAAAATAAAATAAAATAAAATCCTTGAAAAAAATCACATCCCTTGACCCTGTGCTGCACATTTTCCGTTTGTCCCCCTGGATTTGAGTTTCTCACTGTACCCCAAGAGGCCGGTCTGTGTGAACCGCATGGATGGGCTCTCTTGCCCTCTGGCTTCTGGTTGGGCGTGGCCAATGGGATACACCCATGGCCAGGGGAGCTGGGAGGTACAAGGAGAAGAGTATCGTCAGGCATTTGACCCCTCCCTCTATGGAAGGCCACAGCTCCTGTCAGACAGGCAGCCCTCTCCACATAGCCATGCTGCCTGAGTTCCAGGAACTGCTTTTGCCTCTTCGGGGAGCAGTAATAGCTCCCCACTGCTGCCAGCCTGGGGTGCTGCACTATCCCTTTTGGTTTCTCTCCATCTGCCCACACCTTTATAAATCCTCTCTTCATTCAACTCTCCCCTCAGGTTACTCCATTTGATGTGCCATTGTCTCCTGCTGGGACCTGACTAACACAGCTATCAGCAGGAATTTCCTGTCAAGGAAATAACATGAGAGTACTGCTAACACGCTTAGAAATTCCTACTTCACCTTGAGACGACAGAATTAATTCATCTATGTTTCCTCCACCTAGATTTATGTATGTATTTCTTTTCAAAAAACCTTTAGTCCATTCCTAATTTTAGTGTAAGATGTAAATTAGGAATTCATCTTAATTTTTTCCCCAATGGCTAGTCAGGTGTCTTAACCTATTGATTGAACAACCAATACTTTCCTACTAATCTGTAATGCCACCTTTACCTTTCTACTAATCTGTAATGGGATTCCCACCACACTGGAGTCTGTACTGAGCACTCTGTTATCAAACTGCTCCTATTACTGTAGCTTTACAACACATTTTAAAATCTGACAAGTCCCGTTCCTTTCTTTTCCCTCAGAATTTTCTTATTCTCACGAGTATTTCTCCAGTTGAACGTTAGAATAATTTCGTAAAATTTAGAATTGAGTTTTTTTAAACAATTAAATATATGCTGAACATTCCCTATAAAACAGGGTAGCATCTAGTCAGACAAGAATTTAATGCCTATTTTGGCTGGAACTCTTCAGCTGTCTCTGCAGAGAAACATATACTTCTAGGATTCACCAGTGAGAGAACTTCATCTCTTATTTTTTGCAGGGGTGGAATGGAGGGGTTAATTTAAAGAGGTTATGATGTCTGATAGACAAAACATGACTAGAGACAGTATTCAATGTGCATTTTTGAATTAGTGGTTGCTGTATTTGGTAAACCTTTTTCCAAAGCACCAATGTTATGTAGTGGTAACTACATAGTGGCCTTCCAATCAGCCTACAGAACACTACTTGGCCAAGAATGTAGCCAAAATCTTGCCCTTTGCCCTCGTCCTTTTTGTCTGTTATTGTCATTCTAATACCCAGTGTTTCAGGAGCATGCTGGGTTTCTATGGGAACAGGAGTCCAACACTGGGCCAGGGGAGCAAATACAGAGACAGCAGGAACATGATGTCCCTTTGTGTCCTGTCCAGCCTTCCACCTCATCCCATCCCGCACCCTGTAGTCCCTGCAAGGGCAGAGAAAGAACCTGAGGTAAGACCTAAGATGAAGGAGAGGACTGAAGGAACCGGGGACTGAGAAAGACTTGGCAGGTGTGGGGTGGGCTCTAATTCCCAGTAAGCAGAATGGGGAAGTGGGATCAGCAGGGCCTGGTTTCCTATTTATACACCTGAGTACCCAACTCCAAGATTCTAGAACATCTCTAACCATCCATTCTTGTTCAGATCTCTGATCTAAATCAAAACTCTCAATACCAGGCCCTGGAGCAGCCTCCTTCCTACCCGATCCTGCCCTGCAGGGAAAGGCAAGGAAAGGTCGCTCCTCCTCCTGCTCTTTTCAACCAGAAACTCTCTTCTTCCCACCCACAGGGCACCACAGTGAGACAGGAATCCACTGCATGTTCTTTACCCTCCTGAGTAAACCCAACTGGGGACTAGACGTTCAGGTGTATAGGACATTCTGAGGTTGCTGCTGTATGCAATAACAGCAGCATTTGCTGACACGGGCACAAGAGGCCCATACTACTGAGGGCCCACGGCAGTGCTGGAGCAGTCAGCTGAGGCCAAGAGTGTACTTGATGTTGGGGTAGAAACTTAACTTGCTTTAAACCCAACACTGGGCACCAGATACACACACAGGGCTGCTCTTTCACAGCATGACTCATTATCACATGCAAGGGTGACAGTCTGAGACTGCAGAGCAAGGCCAGCGAACAGTTCTCCATGTGCCAAGCCTTCAAGGGAAACTAGGAGACAGGGAGATCTTTGTCACGGGGACAGCTCAGGCTCCTCCAGCCATTCTGGCTCTTGACTAGCCATTAACCAATACTCACTACTAGATTTAAGGAACAGCTCTTCCCAAGGATATTTGGATATTGGTGATAATAAGAGTTTTTTTGGCCAGGAGTTCTTTGCCAGGGGGGTGGCAGGTTCAGAATTTGCGTAATATCCTGCTACCTTCCTGCTTATTCCGTTGTCAGGGTGCCCTCTGGTCTGCAGGGCACTTCATGGGCAGCAGCTCAGGTCAGGGTGGAGGTGTTGAGGCTGGCAAGGGAGGGAGTACAGCCCCTGCCTCTGAACTCCCAGTGTTACTAGATCTAGGCTACTTTTCTCCATCCTAACCTTCTAGCACTTCTGACCTCAAAAAACAAAAGAGAGTTTAAGTTCGTGAACTGCAAAAACCCATATGACCAGCAAAAGGAGAAGATGAAAATAAAAGACTTTCCCTCAATCTCCTCTGGGATGAAGGAGCCCACCATTCTCTACCAAGGGGGCAGAGGCTCCATGGACTTCCAGCTCCGAAAGAAGCGTAGAACACCGCCCTCTCCAAGTTTGTATTGGAATGTGGGTAACAGGGAGAGCAGCGTCCCGTCTGGAGTTCAGGTATGCTCTGCTTTCTGCTGCACACTGCCAGGACCCACAGCCCTCCTGCTCAGGGGAGGGCCCATGACAGTCTCTGGGAAAAGAGGAGTGCCAGCCTTACCCGTGTGCCTTGACCCAGGTGTTCAAGCCCTCCATCATTTTCCAAGAAGAGGAAGAGGTTGAGAGAGCACCAAGTAGGCTGCTGGCCTCTTATCTCCAAACACAGGAGGGTCAATGCCGCTTCCTGTCCCCTGTATGGACATGGCTAACAGAGCGGGTTGAACCTTCAACTCACCTGAAGAACACAAATAGGCTGACCTTTGTCGACAGAGCCCTTCCAAATCCTTGCCCCAGATTTTGTCTCGAAATCTGCTCTTCCAGCTTAGGAGGCACTTTCCTCTTCATCAGGGGCTAGGAAGGGATGACACTGGCCTGCAGTTGGCAGACAGAGCTTACCAGAGCCTGACTGAGCCAGAAAAGGTTCTGTTTGTCACCCAAAGGAATGACAGACATCAAATCAAAGCTCCTTCATGCCCACATTTTCCTTCTAATATAATTTTACCTTAGCTCACAGTTTCCTAATCTGGAGTCTTGAACTCTCTGAAGTTGTGGGCAAAATTCTGTGCATTTTTCTAGGGAAACGATTCATACGTTTCTGCTTCTCAAAGGTATCTATGACCCAAAAAGATCCACTGACTTAAGCTGCTGACCATGCAACCTCTCAGTGAAGATTTGGGGATCAAAGTGACTCTTCCTTGGCTGGGTCTTCACTGGGTCAAAAACCTACTTTTAAGTAACCTAAACAAGGTCTCTTGATTGGTAAAGGTGACACTAACTGAGTCATTTGGTGGCAATCGTGAGGAATACTTATGCAATTTAAACTCACTTCTAAGCGGGCCTAGATCAGCACCAGGACTGTTTCTTCAATAAAGAGAGTGCCCAAAATAAAATACCATCTGGCCAGAAGTAAAGGTCAAATACAGACACATTTAGAGTACAATGCTAACTTCCCCAGCTTTGAGAGGGAGCAGGAGTTGGGAAAGAGGTCTCTAGTAGTTTGGTATTTTCCTCAAAGCGTACACTGTGCAGCCTAGACGTCCGTGAGGCTGGGTGGGCTCTGGACACACAATTCAAGTTCACTACTAACTTAGATAACAGAATTTTATATGACAAACCAGCTACAAAAGCTCACGTTTTCCCAAACCAACTTCTGGATTATCACCTAAAGTGGATAACAATAAGGGCAACACAAGGAAAAAAGCAAAACAGGAAGGTTCACTAAGTCCCTGGATGCAGTTCGTCATATGGTCAAGGTCATGGCCCAGATATGTCATTTGATAAGAACTTACTACTCTCATATGTTATATGATTTAAAACAAGTTATTTTTTACTTAGGATATAATGGTACAAAGCCTGAAGAAATTAAGAAATGTGAAGAATTGGAAGCCTCCTGTGTGTAAAACAATACCTTTATTTTGCTGAGTTTCATTTGGATTTTCTTAGATACCAGATCAGACCAATATTTCTCTCCTAAGAAGTCCCAAAACATTCTTCCAAGTAAGGCATTCACCCAGGCTTCCTGTTCTTCCTCCTCCGAGGGTGGAGCCTCTGGCAACTGACAAAAGAAAAGGGACCAAAATTAGCTAGAAAGCAAATGGAGAACAAGACAGGTGCTTATTTTTATAAAGTCACTAAAGTTCCCTCCCTATAGAGATGGACGACCATGTGAGTTGTATTTCTTCCCTGTAAATTACAAGTCCCCCATTATGTCAGTGAATAGAAAAAGACAGAAACAAAAGCCACCATCACAGATAAAAACTCCTCTGTCTATTTTCTTTTTCTACCAGTCTTCCTGCGAACCAGCTAATATTTCATACAATTAGCTCAGCGAAATTGCCCTGCCCCCCAAATTAGCTTGGTACCAACAGTCTCAATCAATGACATATCTGATCAAATGTCTGCCTATCTTTCTTCCAGCTAAGGCTCCCTGGATGTGTAATTGTTAGGCTGGTCGTCACCAGGCAGCCCCTCAGGTTCCCAATGCCTAGGACTCTTACATTCAGCCTGATCCTGGTAAGCTCGTGATTCTCTTGGGTGAAGGTCAGGGAGTACTTAAAAATACTGGTGCCTGGATCCTACACCCAGATACTACTTTAAGTGGGTATTAAGACTTTTAGGGCCGGCCCTGTGGCTTGGTGGTTAAGTGTGCGCGCTGCGATGCTGGCGGCCCGGGTTCGGATCCCGGGTGCGCATCGAGGCACCGCTTCTCCGTTCATCCTGGGGCCGAGTCCCACATGCAGCAACTAGAAGGATGTGCAGCTACGACACACAACTATCCACTGGGGCTTTGGGGGGAAAAAATAAAATAAATAAAATCTTTAAAAAAAAAAAAAAAAAAAAGACTTTTAGAAGCTCTCTCACTGATGTAATGAACATGTAAGGTTGAGAACCACAGCCCCAGATTACAGAGAGCCACTCTCAGGAATTCTGTGAAACTCCTACAGCTCTTCTCACCAATCTCAGCCCAGTGAAATACCCTGGGTCTCACCTCCACGTGATACCATCCACCTGAAACATCTGTTGTGGCCAACGCACGAAGTGGGAGAAGAGCGAACCTGCGTCAGTCTCCAATTTCCAAGGCTAATTATTAGACTATGGACTCTTGCCTGGAGAGGGCCAGCGTAGGGGTGAAGGAGGAGGAGGAAGCAGCAGCAACATCCACTGAGGGTGTAGTGAGGTTAGGGGGTTAGTGCAGGTCACTGCCATTGTCACTGTTGTTGTCCACTGACCCTGCGCCAGGCCCTATGATAAGACTCCTTCACAGGAGTCCTCCTTCCCTCATTTATGTCTTACATCTCATAATACCCCAGAAAGACAGAACTTTTACTTCTATTTTAGGGATGAGAAAACAGACTCGGAACCATTCAGTGCCCTGCACATCATGACACAGAGCCTCCTTCTTCCCGATCTCCACCTGCTCTGTCCTGTGGGAGGCAGGAAGGGGATGTGACCGGACCCTGGTGTGACAGATATTACCCTATGCTGAGGTCTCTAATTAGACTATAGCTTTACAGAAACAATTAGCCTGGGAAAGCAAAGACCAAAAGAACTAGAAATGGAGAAATCTGTGAACTGTTCACCCTTTCTCTTCCCTCTATTGTTTTTATAAATGCATCTGTCCTGCCCTCACAGGCTGCCTGCAGCCATAACACACACCACACACCCTCACTGTCTCCATGCTCTGTCTGTGTGCGTTCACACCAGTGCTATCTGTTGTGGGCACCACAACTGTGCCCACGTCACAGCTGTGTGCCTAGGCCAGGAGCACAGTATACAGGTGGCTTGGTGCTCACGGATTTGACACTGGAGATTTGATGACTTGTGAGTACCCCAAGGTCTATGGCATGTACCTATGCGTGCTTTTTCTGAAGCCTGAGGTTCTGAGGGTCTGACCCAGGTGAACCAGTCACTGAGCTTGTGCAGGGCACCCCACACCCACCTGTCCACTAGTCTTGTTGGAGCTTGTGCTGTCTCTCTCTTCGGGGGCCTGGGGGTTTACTCTATTTTTCAATCTAATGTTACCGCATATGAGGGGAGAGATTTTATGTTCTAGGAGTCCTTCAAATTTGGGTGTTTTCAAAGGTGTCCCTAATCACTGTTGGTGAGTCTCATTTAAAAAAAATTAAATTCTGGTTTAAAAAATAATACGCACTGGTTATTCCATTTCAGAAGACATGGCTCTACTTCACTCATTTTAATGGCTGTAGAGTATTCTCTCTGTGCTGTTCTAGTGCTGTAATGTCTTTTGATATTAACCAAGGCATTTCTACCACCAGGTCCTGGACGGAAGAGTGGAAATCCGTGGTCAGTGAGCACTCAGGCATGCCACAAGTTGTACATGCTTTTTGGAATCATTTTTCTTTCTGCCTGAACATCTGCACCCCACCCCCAAGGGATCTGATCCAGCTTTTCTGAGGTTACTGTCTTTGAGTCACATCAGATTATCCACGCAGACTTCTGAGTAAACACTCATCCAAGGACAATGCCCTCCTCCCCCGGGGAGTCAGGCAGTGCCAAGCTGCTGCCCACATAGGGCACCGCATGTCTTACTTAGAGTAGTGGGCTACATAAGAGAAGAATTGCTCTTTCCCTTTTCACGTAGGAGAGTACACCCTTTAGTAAGCTTTCTTTATAACCCTCATTATTCACAGGAAACAGGTTTAACACAAAATAGCAAGAAACAAAGGCTATTTCACAATTTATGCCCAAGCCAGAGGCATATGATGTGGAAACAAATTTCTAAAATAACTGACAAGCAGGTTGTTTTTTATTTTCAACAGTTCCTTTTTCTAATGCAGGCTTCTCTCCACAGATTCATTGGGAACAAAGAAAAACACAAGAGCAGCAGAACATTGACAATTCGCAGCTTTATGAACAAAATCTGGATTCAACAGGCTGCCAGAAAGAACTCACTTCCATTGAATGTCATACAAATTTAAGAGCTTAAAGAGTAAATGTGCATATATTTCCTAACATTGCCATTTGGCAAATGTGAGAAGAATATTCGTTTCACCATTTCAACTATATACATACATTTAGAAACAGTAACTTTGCAAAACAAAAAAGTTTGGAGATTTCAATGGTCCGAAGCTGAAGCAAGGCTATCATAACAGTCTGAGTAGCTCTTGGGATATATTTTATTAAAAACTAACCTCCAAAGCAAAGTGGTATAGATTTACTTAACTTTGTGGTGTAACATTTCCTATTACAAATTAGGAAACCAACCCAACTTTTTTGTTACAAAGAGAGCTTAGTGGCTCTGCTCCTAAAGTTTAGTCACACACAGTCTGGTGCCATGAGGGTTTCACAAAGGGCTGCCTGGTTCAGGAGAAGGAACACTCTTCCCCCAAGTCTGTTAGCTTCTTTCCCCAATTATGAAAGCAATTCAGAGTCACTGTATAAAATCCCCATAATCCCACTACCCAGATATACTTATTTAAAACATTTTTATTATATTTCCTTTCAGTCTTTTTTCAATGTTATATACATACTTTTAAGAATATAGAACTTTTTCTAAAAACAAAATTGGACCTAAAGGATTTTCTATCCTTTTTCTTTTTTATAGCTTTATTGAGATACAATTCACATTCCATACAATTTACCCATTTAAAGAGTACCATTCAGAGGTTTTTAGTATATTCTGAGTTGTGAAGCCATCACCACAATCAATTTTAGAATATTTTCATTATCCCCAAAAGAAACCTTGTACCCATTAGTAGTAACTCTCCATTCCTCCTCAACTCCATTCCCACCACCACCATCACCACCAGCCCAAGGCAACCACTAACTTGTCTCTATGAATTTGCCTATTCTGGACATTACATGTAAATGGAAGCATACAATATGTGTTCTTTTGTGACTGATTTCTTTCACTAAGCATAATGTTTATCCATGTTGCATTATGTATCGGCACATCATTCTTGTAGAATAATATTCTGCTGTGTGCATATATCACACTTTATTCATTCATCAGTTGATGGACATTTCAGTTGTTTTCCACTTTTGGCTACTATGAATAATACTGCTATAAACAATTGTGTACACATTTTTGTGTGGACATATGTTTTCATTTCTCTTGGATATATACCTAGGAGCGGAATTATTGGATCATATGATAACTCTATGTTTAACATTTTGAGGAACTAACAAACTGTTGTCCACAGCAGCTGCACCATTTTACATTCCCACTAGCAATGTACATGGTTCCAGTTCTCCACATCCTCACTAATCCTTGTTATTATCTGTCTTTTTCATTATAGCCATCCTAGTGGGTGTGAAGTGGTATCTCATTGTGGTTTTGATTCACATTTCCCTGATGGCAAATGATTTTGAGTATCTTTTCATATGCTTATTGGCCATTTATATATCTTCTTTGGAAAAATGTCTATTCACATCTTTTGCCTATTTCTTAATTGGGTTATTTACCTTTTTATTATTGAGTTTTTTTTTTTTTTTTTTTTTAAAGATTTTATTTATTCATTTTTTTCCCCCCAAAGCCCCAGTAGATAGTTGTATGTCATAGGTTCACATTCTTCTAGTTGCTGTACGTGGGACTCGGCCTCGGGTTGGACGGAGAAGTGGTGCCTTGGGGCGTGCCCGGGATCCGAACCCGGGCTGCCAGCATCAGAGCGCCCGCACTTAACCGCTAAGCCACGGAGCCGGCCCTTTATTATTGAGTTTGAAGAGTCCTTTATATATTCTAGGTACTAGACCCTCATGAGATATATGATTTGCAAATATCTTCTCCCACTCTGTGGGTTGTCTTTTCATTTTCTTGATGGCATTGTTTGTAGCACAAAGCTTCTTAAGTTTGATGAAGACTAATTTATCTATTTTTTTTTTCTTTGGTTGCTTGTGCTTTTGGTGTCTTATCTAAGAAGGCTTTATCTAACCCAAAGTCAGGAAGATTTACTCCTATGTTTTCTTCTAAGAGTTTTATAGTTTCCTCTTACATTGAGGTCTATGATCCATTCTGAGTTCATTTTTTGTATATGGTGTGAGGTAGGGGTCCAACTTCATTCTTTTGCTTGTGGATATCAGTTGTTCCAGCACCAT